TTCCGCTCCAGTTTACTTTACTTTGTTTTAATTTAATTTTAGGATATATCTTGCTGACCGCATGTTTCTTAGGAAGTTTTGTTGAACCAAATCTTTGGAAGTGCTTTTCAGCTCACGTGACTCCTAATTGAAGTTATTGTAGGAGCAAAAGCACTCGACAGATTCAAGTGACTCATAGACAAATTGATACCACCTCAGTTAAAGAGTGAAGCAGACAAACAGCAGAGTATCACTCTGAGACCACTACCGTAAAATCTGTCACTTATACAGGTAGAAGCATGGATCATGTCATGACATGGTGCAGGATCAGACATGCCGCCACCACGATCAGCTGTCTGGAAGCATTCTTTCTATCCGCTGCAACCAATAGAGGCAAGTATTCGCCGAGACACTGGGGCCCTGAACTATTAAACCAGATGATTTCTCGAGGACTAATTTTGTAGTTAGTACTAAACGGGGAGGTGTGTCTAAAAGATCTATCCAATGATGCATCAGTTTCCTAGGTTTAACGTGGTGCTCCATAAGCAGCCTATGAGAATCCGATATTTGATTCCATATGAGATGACTCATAGTTTATCAGGTACGGCACTGAAAATTGCATCTTCAACCTTACTGACTACAAATAAATTGTATATGTGCGTGAGAATCCTGCACTACGCTTGTAGTCTCTATTTTCACGTTACACAGTGTAATAATCTTTGCCTAAATGAATGTCGGTAGTGGTTTTTTGCACTGCAATCACTTGTATTCTTAACAGTACATCATCCATACAGTTCTCCTTCCCCTTAAAATGTCTTATATCAATCCTAAACCGTGATGTTAAGTGCAGGTGGAGAATCTCGTGTGGCCAGTATTTATCCGACTTCGCGGTGAATGCGTAAGTGTAAGGGTTATGGTCTGTGTGGACCGTGCATGTACTGTCTACCGCCATGCAGCGGAAGTGTTTCATGGCTAGATAGCGAAATACCTTGTTTCGGTAGAGTTAAGACGGCGATTAAATGGCATATCCTCTTTACGTAGTGGCACTAATTACTTCCTCTGGTGGCTGTTAATGAGTTTCATCAACTAGGACAAGATATACTTTTGAACTTACCGTCCCCTTCAATACATTAAATGGAGCAGATATCAGGGTCAAGCGATACTTTCTGATAAAAGTACAGAGAATATAACGCAGCTCAAGAATATACTGCCAAAATGATGACAATGTATATGTCAGAAAAGTGTTTTAATGCGAAATGTCATTCAAAAAGCATACAAAAATATAACTTGTCATTCAACCACTGTAGTAACAGGCCACAAAGCTACAATTGATGGCGACAGGCAGTAAAACCAATCGAGGTAAGAGGCTTAGAAAAACGATTGGTTATTAGCCGTTGTACTTAGGCAATTTAGTGTTGTTCCTAAGGCACCGATGGATGCACACGGTATAATCGCATAAGGGGCACTTAGATTGGGATATTTCAGGATTTCGGTCCTCGCCAGAGCATCTTCCAGCTGTGCATTTGCATCGGTTACCTCATTTTGACTGCTGAAGGTCTTTAGGCCCACCTTAACTCATCAGTCGGAGGCTGCATGTACTGTGTGCATTTTGGGGACAAAACATCAATATAAATTGATGAACCTTAAAAAAATTTTGGAGGTGAGTGGGGGAAGTAAGTACTCTATAATGCCTGGTGGCATCCACTTTCTTGAGTATCGGTATGATCCCACGGCTGTCAGTGAAATGCCTTAGGAACCCAATTAATTCCTCCCATAAATTGCATTTACACTGATTGACTGTCATATGGTTTTCTTCTAGTTTGTGTAATACTGCCCGAATGTGAACTGATAGATGGTTATGTCCGAGCTAGCGGTGGGTCGGTCATCTATAAACAGTCTAGCGACCGTCAGTTCATGCAGGTCATTCATTATTGTTTAGAAAGTTTGTGCGACATTCCAGAGAAAAATGGCATCTGCACAAACTCATGTAGTCCAAAATGAGGGTAATGGCTGGTCTAAGCATATCTTCTAAAGCCACCGGAATATTCTAATAGGCATGAACTAAGTCAATCTTAGTAAAAACTCTAGCATCTCAAAGACTATTAGTGCTTCCGGGTAGGTATCTGGGACGGTTTTCTAAATTAGGACTATGTAGTCTCTACAGAGGCCGCAACCAGTCCAATTTTTCTTAGGCACCACGAATAAGGCGTATCAATGGTATTTTATACCATTTCGCAGTTCTCCAGGCCGATCTGCTCTTCCTGAAATAGCGTTCATTCACTTGGCGGTATAGCACCTACCCAAATATACACTCTTCGCTGGTTGGTCATAACTATCATCAGAAAATGAAACGAAGTTTGCTTTGGCACTGAACTTTGATGGTGACCTTAGTGAGGGGCTTACGATTTGACAATTATGCTAACCTACTCCGATTGCTCGCACTTTTGAAAAAGTACTAATTTATGATACTTCGCGATTGTAATTTATAACATAACTGATCGTGCCATTCATTTCTTGTAAACACCAGTTTATACGAAATACAAGTTTTTATTAACAGCAAGGCCCACTGACTATTTGATGACTGAATAATCTCCAAATGAAGGATACAGTCGAATTTGGACTTCTCTAATTTTAGCTTAGCCGGAGCCAATCTTCTCGGCTTGGTAAAAACCGGATGGCTTTTTACCTATAGCACGAGTAATTTTCAGGCCAGCTTTCTAAGCGTGGGGTATGGTTGACGTCAGATTTGAAAATTCTGCTACCACTTTCCAAAGCACTATATTCAGAGAAAGATGCCCGCTCGCTTCGCCAATCGTATATCAAGAGGTTTCTTTCATTGTTAAAAATCCTCTTCGAGTGTCCACTAATAGGTTATCTTTCAAGGGAGTCTTGGCCCAGGACTGCTAGGTCTAGGTAAGTGAAAGTGACAAGCTGTGAGAGCTGTAGCTTAAACCCGAGGGTAATGGTCAGTGTTTTCTACACTATCGTCTAGATCTGGGTTCTATTGAGAGCCTGCAGAGTGACGGAAAACTTTCGTCTTCCCGGCCCCATCTTTTCTTTTGATATGACACAAGTGCAAATTGTGAATAACCAAGATGCCTACGAAAGAGGTTTGTTCTTGACTCAATATAGGCAACTGTCCGGCACCATTTCTCAGTGTTAACCATTTCCCTGTTGTTTGTGGAGGATTTTAGGCCAGGTGAGTGGTTGCGTGCTATTTTTCGGCTGTGGGCCAAGCCACCAGTCATAACATCAGATCCGTGTTGACAGCCAGTTTTTCTTGCTCCGCATCTTGACCCATATTATCGCCTACCTCTAGATCTACCTGGATTACCCTATGTTATCTCTTTCGCGCCATTTATTCTATTAGTGATCTAGTGTTGGCTACTGGTCCTAAGATTATTACATTGTCACTCATACCTTTATAGTACGCTTACCCTTGTGACATTCGTCTACTCTAAATTACTCGGTCTAGGGTAAGTGCTGACTGCCCAAGGGTGAAGTCAGGAACTTAGACATACAGTGCAGATTGTATGTACTGTGAATAAGCTTTCATACAGCTTTGTTGAGTGATTCTGACAAGGGCCCACATCTTGAAAATAGTGGAAAGACGAGTGAGTCGATACCCAATTGAGCAGGTATAGTTAACGTGGGAGGAATAGGAAGAGAGAACATCGCCAATACTCCTAACACTAGCCGCCATCAGTGTAGACACAACCAATCCCGTGATATAGAACGAAAAACCGTCCCCCAAATTGGATTTCCAGTGACACTGCTTATTCGAATTGATCTCATTTTCCGTGGAGGTGACAAGCCCTGATACAGCCTTAACATCTGCTTGTTGATCGAATATTGGAGCCAACTAATTGTGAACTCGATGACCACACCGCTGTTTTACTAACTTTGCTCCGTTGATTTGTTATTGTTTGGGCAATAAACGTTTTAAGTTTCAATGTCTTTTATTATCAGTCGCACTTAACTTTAACTGGTTATTAGGTACCGAAATAGTATTCGGAGTTCTGGAGAGCTGTCTTCTGCCAACAGTCATAATTTCCGATAGCGTTATTGACAGTTTCTGAACTGGATACTTGAAACCGTCAGTGGTAAGGTCAGGAAGAAAAGAAAAAAGTGAATTAATAGATGCATTTTTTTATAATGAAGACATCCACACATGGTATATCACCTTATGCATACAACTGAACCGCATTCTACACACAGAATACTGTGACAAGTTGGTAAAGTTACACATGAAGCACATTCAAAGCCGAGGCTCAAACATTATTTCAATGTTGTTAGACTCCATTTATTACGGTAGAGGCCAGAAATATTAGTCGGGCATTTCACACAGTTCTATGTCATAGTGGTCCAGATAGATGCGATTCTGAACAGTTCTCATATTCCCAAGGGAATTTTGAAATTTGGCTGTGATAATATTTTTCGTAGTAGTGTGTACAGAAGGCCTCTGGTTACGTGCCACTATCACTATAATTTCATGTTGACAAAAGGCACAGTTGTTCAGAGCCATCCCCTTCCAGTAGATATCTCGAATCGATGACTACTATCACCAAGCAAGAATTTCGTTCTCAGCAATCAAATTTTCGCTCTTCTCTGGCTGAATCAAATTTAATGGTATCTATTTGCCTCAAGCGCAATTCAACAGCTGCAATGGTATTAAAAATATTTTACCCACGTGCAAGTTCATTACTAAAAAGGAGTTAATTCATAGATCATTGTAATCATTAACCAAGGCAAATCTAACTGACACTGTTATAAGGGAACTAAGCTCCTCAGGATAGTTAACAAAGAAGTCGTTCGATCTCATGCATAAACTAAACAGGATATTATTTCAAAGAAAGTTATTCTCTTCTCCATAAACCTATATCAGCAGCACTGGAATTCATTTCTAGGATTCATTGGGTGCTTTGTAGTTGGCTGGTGACTCTTGTAATTTTCTTTCAATCTGTTACAAGGATACTTTGTTATTACGAATCTGGTCAATGCTTTACTATGGCGCATAATATGTCCATATGCGTTACATTTCTGTGTCCTTGGGAGTTACTTCTGTGTTTCGGGATGTGTTAGACTTTCGTTTCGTATATGGATGTGAAGCACGGTATTTGAAATCTAAGAGGAAAACATTTTGGAACGACTTGAAATATCTAATTTTTCAAAGAAGACTGGATCTGCTTACTTGAAGATATTTATTTTGAGTATCTTTCTGGACGAGTTTCGTCTCAGTTTTATCTTGTTGAGCATGCCATGCACTTCGAGACCGCTGTTTGCGCATGTGAAAAGTGTCAAAAGCGAGTACCTCTGGCTTGTCAGTGGACTGAAAATGACAACCCCGGCTCTCTTGCCTCAAGTTCTACTGCAGATACGGGTATCGATTGCAGTCAGAATACTTCTCCTTTATATCCACCAGTGCAGTCACCTCACACCATTACACATCGTCATATGGGCAGAAAATATGGTTACCCAGTTGGTCACGTAGCCTCGTCATCCAGCGACGACCACCCACCTCCTGTACCACCCAAAACTGCGGATATCCCTCCACTTCCTCCGAAACACATATCCGGTCCAGTCCGACAACTGAATGCTTCCCATAGTGCTGATCTTGTGGAGACTTGTGCTATTTGCAGAAGGAATGCTACTGACATAAACCGACCGTGTACTAACACTAAATTTTTTGATAAACAATCTGTGAATGCCCCAAGACAGTCTCCATTTTCATTGAAATGTGAAACAACTCACACTGGGTGTCCTAGCCATTCTCAATTCTCTGACAGTCTTGTGAGGATTCATTGTTCGTCTCGTAAAACTGGATTAAATAAGTCCGATAAGGAATTATCAGGAGGAAGTAGCCATTCACATAGTCTTGGGGTTAGTAAAAGTATTTCCGATGCAAAGGTGACACAGTCGGCCACATGCAAGCGTTTCGAGAAGAAACATGTTTGTTCAAGTTCTAAATACCGGACAGAAAATATGTGTGAACTAATGAGAGATTCCAACTCGACATCTGATCTACCCACTTCCAGTTGCACATGTTCTTCAAACTTGTGGGGTTCTAATGTTTTAGCCAGTAAAGTGGATTCTGAATGTACGTCGCATCCAAGATGTTTCTCTTCTGAATATCGAGGACTCAATTTGATTTCGAACCATTTTGTAAATCGGAAGGTTTCTAGCTATCGAAAAGATCTGGGTAACATGAATAAAACAGGATGTGGTAGCTTGCAGTGGATTTCTGAGACTTTCCAGCGAATATTTCTTGTTTCTAAAAATTCTAAGGCCAAAAATCAATTTCCTCAGTCATCAAATGATATGTTTCCAGTTCCCAGGAGTCCATCAAGTTCAAATGAGGATAAAATAAGTGGACGTGTTAAAACACTGATTCAGAAGAAAGATCGTGAATGGAGAAGAGATATTTGTAATCAAAGACCGAGACGTAGTCTTCCTTTGCGTCACAAGCGTTCACTGAGCTACAACAATAACTGCACTGAGGGAACTAAAGTAAGTCCGAGTAATTCAAATGAGTGTGAGACTAGTTCATTTTCCCACCCACCCGTCAACCACCATTCACTCCCACCTAGATCAGCAACTAGTCGTAGCTCTGCTGTCAAATGCATTAATTCTGCGGTCACTCCAGACACAACAAAAAAGCATTCCAACCGTCTTGATAGCCTAAGCCCATCCAGTAGTCGAGTAAGACCCATCCATACATCAAAAACGGTGGGACTTATTCCAACTAGATATCAAACTTCAAAGCTATCGAATATGTGCATGAACTATAAGAGACCAGAGTCGGCTCTAGCGATGATGTGTGCGTGTCCATCGTATGTATCCAGCCAAGCAAATGTGAGTGTTATTTTATTATAGTATGTTTCTGATATTTTTTTAATCAGTAACTTTTAAGATAAAGTAGGTATTTAAGAGAAAAAGTATCAGCTCCAAGGATTATGCATATATATATATATATATATAAGCTTGTTTTCATCGGACCACTGACAGTTATTAGTCCCTCTCGGCTTTCTGACCTTCGAGCAATTAAATACCATCCTTAATCATCCCGATGACCATGCTCCCTAATGCACAAATCCTTGTAACTGCATTACTTGAATATTCTTTTGGTAATTAAAGAACACCTTGGGATAACTTTGTATTCTTAGCAATTTTCTATCAGTTTACCTTCAGTTGGGTAGCCAGACTCTTTTCTAGTCAGCATACATTGAATAGGTCTTTTGTTCGGGTCCAGCCCACGTTAAGCTGTACAACATAGATAATACTACAACTAATTTACTTGGTACCTTTATGTACTAGGTCTGAGCTTTGAAGAAAAACCCTGATATGTTACCTTCTTAATAATGTAACTATATTTTTAAAATCCTCAGTTATACTTTTGTATGTTGGTTATTTCTATACAGAATGCTAGATAACATAAGTTTCCTTATGTTACATATGATAAATATGTATACTGCTACTTTTTTGGTTTTTGTGGTATTGTTACTGTGAAATACACCAAACGGCACTAAATAAAAACTTTCATAAGTCAGTAATAGATGCACAGATTTTGTTAGATCTTGAATTATAGTTCACTCCATTTACTTTTCAAATAGTTATGTGATGCCTACGTCTGGGCAGGGTTATTAAGACCAAATACTTCTCACTGAACATCTGCCCGTTCTTCTGTAGCTCATAAGTATCATGGTTAAAATCCTTTAGGTAGCTTAAATAAACGTTTAGTCAAATGGTCTGGAATTAATTAGTGCATCTACGTTTTACGTAGATGTTATTATCATTGTTCATTTAATTATATTTTTACTTCATGATCCATTATTTTATTTTCTCTTTGTCTTTTTTGCTGGATGCCTGTTTTGATGTTACACAGTGTGATGCAGTAAACCCAAATACTTCACGCCTTCCGTGTGAAACATCTACTGATCCTAACAATGTCTTAAAATGCACTGAAGATATTGATTTTGGAGAACACCCTACTACAATAATCGATAAAAATGGACAGATACACCATGTTCATCATATACATCACTTTCACCATGTTCACCACCACCATCATCATCACGACTGTACTGATGTCGCTAATAATGTCGCCTCTTGTCCTTTAAGTCCAGTTACAAGTCCAGTCGTCTGTGATCGACAGCGTCCACCAACAACTATCGCGTCTGCTATGGATACTTGTATTTTAGAGGAAACATCAGTCAGTTCTCCCTTATCCTGCCAAAATGCTAATAATCAACCACCAGTATGTACTGATCAAATCACTGTAAGTTATTCTGCAAATTTTAAAATCGATTAAGGATTGTGTGAATCAACTGTACCAAATCAATATTTTAGATATGACATACCGTGATGGTCTTTTCAATATTTCCCATATACTAGTGGCATCCTAAGTGAAAATTAAGGATATGTTAAAGCAAACTTAATAGATACGTAACAGTTTTGTTTTGAAATTAAGAACCTCACATTAAACACTTTTCCTACTTTATCAGTTAGACTAAGGTAATCAGTCAGATATAATTAACAGTTAATTAGCCTTAATATGTAACTCAATAATAATTTGGCCGAATGCCAAGATAAGCAAATCATAGTTTCATCTTGACTTGTTCTCTGTTTCTTTTGTATTATTTATTAGAGGTAACAAGACAGTTATCTCTTCTGCTGTATGCTATTTCGGTAGGTTCGATGGTAGTTTACTGTCACAATCTAGTGGTGAACTACATGTCTCGATTGTAACTATGATTCGTCTTCGTGTCTCCGTTCTGTCTCTTGAGTTATTTAGTATAATACAGTCACTAGTGATTCGCTTAGGTGTAGTGCGTTAAGTAAAGAGGGTAACTCAATTGATGAGGCTGTGAAGCTACATTGACTGAAATAACTAGGACACGTGTTCCGCATTTCAGGCCATCACCTTTGACGAGCAATGTTAGCTGATATACGATTGGATTACAAAAGAGTGAGTGACACGGCTCATAGCCTCCCTCAACGGTGTGGATGTATTCACTCTTTATAATCTCTCAGATGCATTGAATTCCCATTGTTCTCCATGTGATTATTATTTGTATTTCATTTTATTATCTACACTTGAGTACTTGATGAAGTGTGTTAACCTGAATTGCTGCAATTTTGTGCTAATTTCTACGTTGAAAATCCAGTCTGGTTCTCAATACGTTGAATAACGTGTAGAAACTTTATACGATTTCTTTTGAATTTTATGGGTTTATATTGCCACATATAACTTTACCTTTGGAAAATAGCTTGTCTATGTACCTCACAGCATTGGTTGCTGCTCAGAATCATTTAAGGGAAAGATCAGATTGGGATTTCATGAATATTCATACAAATAAATATTATAACATGGCACTTTAATTTATGACAAATTTCTGCATCTCAAACTAGGATGTGTGTAATGACATATTTTCTATTTGTCAACGATTTACATTTTTTTAAAATTAGTAGTATCTGTACAATTTTGCCTTCAACACTCACTATTGGACATTACAGCGTAACTTTGATAATTTGTCTACCCAATTTCTTCATAGAATAGATGTGACTGATTCCAAAAGTACTGTCAACTGATGTGATATCGATACAAGTTGACCGTTATATACCTATAAAGTTAGGCTATTGACGTTCAGCATATATTGAATATAGCTAAAACCAAACTCTATTTGCTGATTTCGACATCGGTGACTATAAATACTCGAAAAGTAAAGAAAACAGTACAATAAGTTTCTACAGTCTTTAAAGGAAAAGGAAATAACAGTTATTGCCTTAATTAATTAATTTATTTGTTGATTTTGTTCGAAAATATTGTTTTCACGTTGGAAAACACTTTTGTTTTCACGCTTCTCTTACCTTATACAGCCTGTTACCAGTTGTCATACATACAATGCTTATGATGTCCGAGCATCTGACAGCATTAATATGTCTGTATCCACCAATTCTGCATCACGAGATTCCCGCAGTGCATCTATCAGAAGACTGTCATCTACATTACAAGATAGTCGTTCATCATTTCATCGAAGCATGTTAGAACTGAGAAAGGTAAAATGCTGTCTCTTTAATTTTTAATATTTACATTGAATAACTGTAATACTATTATCATTATTATTTTTTTATCCGATTGATTTTATGTTCTGGAACTAGATTCTGTTGTTTTTTTCACGCTTAAATTTGTAACTCTTTATAATAAATGAACCTTTTTACGTGAAATTTAAAGATTACAACTAGATGAGTGGTTAGTGGTTAAGTAGGCGGTTGAGTGAAATAAATTCTACTACCTGAGTAGTTAAGTAATTGACTATCAAGTGACTATTAGTACTAAACGATGTGAAATATAATCCTTTTAATTGAGCTTATCGGCACTGATACCCTCCTCCCCCCCCCCTCAGATGTATCCAACATGTACATGAGTGTTATTTTCAACTTTATTCATAAGTATATAGACACGATATTTTCTCTTATTTATATTACTACTATTACCGCTACTTATATAAGATGCATTATATTTCGTTGAATGTTATTCTTTATTTGGACGTGTGCATATAGAGAAACAGTTTACGTGTAGATGATTTCAAATAATCCTGTTCAAATATCGTTATCATCCTTTGACATATTTAAAACACATATAATAGTTTGTTTTTTATTCTAGGAAAAAAATTATTTTGACAGACTGTATATGAAATATAAAATAAGTTTTAATGAACTTTGGTCGAGAATTCATTGAATAATTGAACGGCTTATTAAGCGTCAAGTAGTATTAGTAGTAAGTAATGGGTAGTATTAGTATTAGTAGCAGTGGTAGTACTACTGGTTAAACAGCAAGCATAATTATTTTACTGAAAAATACGAATCTACTAGATAGTTTAGTAGGTTTTTATTCTCAAAGCTTTTCATTTTTGTTTTGTTTTGTTTTTTTGTGTTACAAGATCTTTCACGAAGGTAGTGAATATGTTAGACTTTCACTAGTATTTATAACACAAAGTGTCTTTCTAGACTGATTGGTATTTCTTATGTTTGATTGGTTTAATTCTTCTTTAATTGGTTCTTTTGTTGCCAGTTTTAACTTTTAATCAAGTTCATTGATATTCGTGATGAATTTCAGTCAACATATGAGGCCTTAGACTTAGAGAATTGAGTAATATCCTTAGTTATTTTCGACATAAATGTGTCCCGTAGCTCAAAACATTTCTAAAAAAATCTTGTGCCACGTAAGTGACTTCTAGTGTAATGACTGTGAAAAATGGCCACTGAATATGACAAATATGTGAAGACTAGCTATCTTTGACCATAGATGTTTGTGCTCTATCTCCGGTGTTAAGTACTACAATATGGTGAACAATATTGAGGTTAAGGAGTAGTGTTAAGTAAGGAGAATAAGTCAATGGATAAGGCTGTGAAGTTCTATCGATTGAGATAAATAGGACATGTGTTGTGCCTGCATAGCCACCACCTTTCTCGAAGATCAATGTTAGTCTGCATTGGATTAGGTTGGAAAAGAGTTAGGGGTAGGCAAACCAAGAAATGGAGTCATTCCATTGAAGTCTTTGACAGTTGGTCTAAGCCAATTAGTAAGGTGTAGGTGTGGTGTGAACATTTTCATAAACGTTTAGCATTTATATTATACACTATTCACATCTTTCATTTTTGTTTAAACCAGATTCTATACTGGAATTATAAAACGAATAAAGCCTTTATTGCGGGCCCTCAATATTCTCACTTGATCGGTGAATGTTTGATTAACTCATAAACACTACAGTAGGCTAACTCGGGACGCTAAGAATCAATAGCCAAGAACTATTCCCCCCGTGAATCACAGGTATCCATCTACCATGCTCACAATGCATTTTGAAAGGGAAGCAGTATATTGAAGACTAAATTAAGTTGTTAGAATTTTTAGTTGTCATCCGTGTTTAAGTCTGATTTGTTTTTGTTATCCATAATCCAAGTCTTGAAATCGGCCATAACAGCAACTCATAAGTATTCAGTCTCAGCTTTTACCTTAAACATGAATCTTCTCTCATTGTACGCCTTTGTTTTATTATCTATCCTAGTTTATTCTCTTTGGTGGTGTGTCTCAAAAATCGTTCTCAATGGCGTTGATACATTCACCACTCTTTTTAATCTTTCATATACACTAAACGATCATGTTTTTCCACATTACTATTCTCTCTCCCTAAAATTTCTGCTCATTATATCTCTTCTGAATTTCTCTCTCTCTTTACCTTTATGTGCTACATTTTTTATATTTCTTTACGTTCCCAGTGGAACATAGGGCTTCAAGCTAGAACTTTGAAGTTTCGATAGCAGTAGTGTTTATTTTTACGGGATGGGGTTGCTAGCCTCATACCCCCCCCCAGCCTTCCCTCTTTACCAATCTTATTACTGGCTTGGCGAGGTAAAGGAGTGCTTTGGCCAGGGACCGCACCCTGAACTACATGCGTATTTGGTGTGCATTCGACCTCTGTGCTACCGACGCACACATGGAATGTGGTAACCTAAACTGGTGCGCTTCTATGCGTAGTTCTATGCTAAAACTCAGTCGGTCAGGTAGAATTACTCGATTACCACTAGTAAAATATGTCAACAAGACGGTGCAGATATTAAAGAGAAACATTATCGAAATAGTGCCTCGATCGTTAGTCTCGTGTATGGCATAAATCTATATGACATGTATAGATCATAAGCATTCTTAGACAGCAGTTCTCACCGTGTCGACAATATTATACTTTTAACTTGACAGGAATTTTAGCTATATTTCCTTTTTTTGTGTGAATGTGTGTTCGTATAAGTCAGTTTTAATCTTGATAATGTAGTTCAACACTTACTTATTGATCTGTCTAAGCGTTTCGATACCGTTTAATGCATACTAAGTTTTTGGCGAGTTGATTACTACTAACATTATCAACAACATGTGTATGTCCCCACATACACAATCCACTGGTTAAACCTTCAAGCTGCAAGGTTGGATTTGTTTGTGTGTGTGTGTGTGTGTGATATGTAGCTACACTGAGTAGTAGTTGTACTTTTATGCCTATAATAATATGTTGTAAGGCTTAGAGACATGTGTTTTCTGTTCTCGTCAATCAATATAATACAACAATAATCATTTAACTTATGGCAATATAATGATGACTACAAGCTATTATTATTATTATTGCAATTTCCATTCTATTAATTATTCACAATTGATGTGTATGTACTATGATGATAATAATATGCCTGGTAGACACATCTTGCTTGCTTAGAGAATTATTTTTATCACTATTTTTATGCGTTGTCCAAATTTTAGTTTTATTTTGTTTACCTTATAGTCCTTATGTGTGTATGTGTGTGTATATATACAACATAACAGATTGACTTCATAGCACTGACATATATATATATATATATATACGAGCAGAAAGGCACAAATATATGTATATGTATGTGTGACTCATAACTACTAACCAGGCTGCCTCAATTGTAGTAAATTGGTTCGCCTACAGTTGCTAGTTTCCATTATTCTATCATACATATATATACTGATGTATTATTATTATTACTACTACTATGGTTGTCTGTCTGTTTCACTATATATAGTAGACCTGTTAGTCCAAAAACCAGTGCATAATGTAGAATTTGCAGTTGCAGAGAGAGAGAGAGAGCAATTGCATCTTCCTATTCATCGCATTTTATTGTCTATTTTACAACCTTAGTCACATTTCATCAATCATTTTATTATTTTCTAGTGCGTTTCTTTTTTTTTGTTTTGTGTTTTTGATGGTAGACACAAATATGTGGAAAAATTATCATCACATGTGATAAACGCATTGTAGAGAGGGTGGGAGAGAGAAGGAGAGAGAGACTATTTTGTGTTATTATGGTCAAGTCAATTGTGACACGGGCGTTTACTTCTAATTCTCGTGTTACTGCATGTGTTTCATTTATTTTTAAGTAAAGTCTGAACAACAAAAATGTATTTATTGATTATCACCGTAGTCTCTAGTCTGATGGTAGTGATCAGGGCAAGGTTATGAATTACAACTTTTTGGGAATCTATCCTTACGTATCATAACTGCTGATACCGTTTCTGTAGATTTCTTGAAAGCGGATAACAGATTAACCGATGGTTTCATTCTTCATTCCAAAAGAAGTAATAACCATTGTGTTGCTGAAATCGATCGTGAAGAGTTGAATGTTTCAACAGAAGTTTTAACATGTTTGGAGCCAAAGGTGGTGATAGTGATAGGTTAGAGAGTCTTTGTGGATATACGCAATTGCTCAATGATATCTAACTTGGTTACTCTATTTTGAAGTTGGATGGATGGTATGTGACTCATTCAGCTAAGTCTAAGGTTCGAAACCGGCCCATCCTACTTTCACATTGAATAATTGAATAAATATCTTCAACTCTCACAACTAGTGTACAGCTGTCATACATAACCCGGTACTCGAAAAGTCTTTGTCGAGCGTCTGAGTATTATCAAGTGTGGAAGAGGTAGGTATATGGATGATCTTATTTTGATTTTTATCTCTATCTTGCTAAGAGGTAATTTGAAAGGGTTCTCTTGGAATACCGTGCACTGCACTGATTTCTATAACTAGATTGAGTTGAACCAAACAAAGGGAATCTAGGTTCATTTGTTATCATCATGTTGAATCTAAAGGATTTCTTGGCTTTACACAACTAGTAAGCAATTAAGTAGAAACCTCGATAAATCCTCCTTGTGCATCACATTTATCCATTCATCGATGTTCAAAATGCATAACATTTTTAAAGTCAAGCTGTATATTGTGGATTGAATGAATTAATTTTTACTAGACTTTCAGTTGCCATCAGGGTTTATGACTGATCTGTGTTTGCGGATCTATAATCTAAGTCTCAAAATCGGCTATGACAGCCCATAAGTAATCACAGTCACAGCTTTTATTGTCTATCCTAGTTTATTCTTTTTGCCTTTTGACTCACCTTTTTATCTAATTGTTGTGTGTTTGATTTGCCTTCTATTGATATTGATTTCATCTTGCACTGTTCTGAAGTAGTGTAAAAGCTGAAATTAAAATACACTTGTATACAAGATTCTATAGGTGGTTCAGTAGTGCTTAATATCCGTGATAAAAAAAATAAGAAATTACAACAGCTGGGTTGGTCACTACTGGCAGTAACATTTCTCAACTTACGACCTGAATTAGAACCTATCATTACAAATGCTCGCCTGTGGTGGTTCAGTAGTAGTGTGGTGGTGTGATACAGACAATGTGTTCCAATGGAATATGATTCTTACATATTCCCACAGTTCAATTCGGCCTTAGCAACAGAATACAATATATCTCTATTTGAACATTCTATTTGATGTTAGAGACAGAATACATTTCCCACGGTTATATACTGCATTAACAACAGAATACTATGTATATTTGAACATTTCTGCTTCTCTGTCTGTCTGTTTTCGACATAGAACTTTGCACATATGTGCGGCAGTTCAAGTCGCCACAATCTATGTAGCACGCAAGGCAAGAGAAGGAATTAGAAGAAATGCATAATATAGACAGTAAACACAGGTGTGAGACAAAGGAGTAGTAATAGCGAAGAGCAAACAGTTTCATCGGAAATCATAAGTCACAAGGAGTGGATGCATCTGCGCCACTGAGAACGATTTTGAGCCATGTCACCAATTGTTTCCAACCATTTGTTTTTACCATCCCGAGGACCCCAACCAGGAAGTCTACATCTCCCTACGTGACTTAGACTAACTGTTGTGGATTTCATTGATTGGTGCCATGCTATTTCATGTCGTTTGACGTAAACCGAAATCACACGCTCAATGATTGGTTAGAGAATATAAAACTATATATATATATATAGAATAGAGGTTTGATCTCTTGAAAATATGCTTTTGCTTCCGTGTCTTGCCTTCTGCTGTTACAGTAGTATACTCGCCAACTACGCACTTAGTCTAAGTCGGATTCCCAACCGACGTACTCCTTAACCTTGCCTTGTTTACTAGCCGGTAGCAAGTTTAGGTAAAAGCTACGTTTGGATGTGAGGCTAGTAACCCCATGGCGTAAAAACAACACTACTAACCGAAACTTCAAGCGTGGAGGCCTATTTTCCACGTGGAACATAAGAAATGAAAAAGAAAACGCATTACAAATACATAATGAAATACTCACAGATGCCTGAAAAAGTGTAAGTAATTGAACACTGGAAACTGGGTAATAAAGTTTGTTAATTTTTTCGATGTAGATACTTCACATACCTACAGTGGTCCAGACAGTCAAGAATGATCTGTTGTTCTTCCACAATACTTATTTATGTGGTCGGTCGGTCGGTCGGTTTTCGACATAGAACTTTGCACATATGTCATCAAGTCGCCACAATCCATGTAGCACGGTCAGTACTGACACCAAGGTCTAAAGATACATAGACCTCTCTTACACCCCAGTGACCAATCAGTGATTCCATTACAGTCCTACTAGAGGTCAATCATAAGCCCGAATATCTGAATGGTAACATCTCTGACTGTAATATTGGCTGATGCAAGTTTGAATCCTAGGAGGGGGGATATTAGTCCTTTCTAGGTTACGGATACGGTATACTGATGAGTGCCGATAAGCACGAAATCTAGGTCTGGAGATTTCTACTTATTGCCTCTTAGCATGTAGCACCAGGTGATTATTTGTTAAGTAAACGGAGATCTGCTTGTCGATTTACAGTACTTCTTTCGCTGGGTCATTTTTATTCTATTTTTGGTAAGGACTTTTTGAATACCATGTTAGATGGTTGTAGCCAACCTGCAGGAATTCTTAGACCAGTGTTTCGTGCTTCTTTCGTACTCATCAGCAAGGCGTGTCTGCAGTCTCGGAGGAACTCATGTCTCCTATAAGATTTGAACCCACGTCACCCAGTACTACAGTCATAGACGTTACCGTTGAGCTATTGGGGCTTGCGATCGACTTCCTTTAGGGCTGTTAGATACACTGAGTGGTCACGAGAGTGTAAACAAAGTGATATGTCTATTCCTTGGTATCAGTGCAGACTGAATTCTATCACTGAGGTTATTCAAGATTACCAAACTTTGAGATGTGTTGAAAGGATTGAGTGGTAAATAATGCGATTCCTTAAAGTTTAACAATATTTCTTCTTTCATTCGAAATCTATTTATTGCTTTCTTCTCGTATTTAATATTAAATTTAAGAGAACAATACTAAGTGTTATGCTGTTAACTTGCAAAGCGAATAAATTGCACACCTGCTCCAATATAATTTAATCAACACTTGGTATTTCGCAGAGGATAACTGCATTAATTAATATTTGTGGCTGACAATAATTTGTGCGTAAGAACTCTATCCACTTTTCTTCTCTTTTTTCTCTCTCTACTAGATGGGCTGGTATTGGGGACCATTAAGTTTTCAAGAAGCTCAATTTCTATTAGCCAAACGACCAGATGGTAGTTTTCTAGTCCGTGATAGTGGTCATGATACGCATATTTTGAGTTTAAGTTTTCGAGTACGCGGTGAAACGTATCATACAAGAATTGAACATAATCAAGGTTAGTTTCCCATAGGCCTTTTTTTTCTTTTTCTTCAAAAAAGTGTTCATTTTATTTATATTTGGTAAGATTCTTTAAAAATATGTTAAATTTTAAACTATGTTGAGTGTTTTAATCGTCTTCACTATATTCACTTATAATATTCAAAAATGTTGTAGTAAGAAATCTCGAACAAAATATATAAGTTGGTAAGACTGTTTTCAATTAGACCTCATTAGGTTTTACTTTAATATACATAAATTTATACATAAATGATAAATAAAAACCCATCATTAGTGCGTCGATGATTCAGCAGCAGGAATGCTCGCCAACCACTCACATGGTTGGGTCGGGTTCGATCCCCGACCGACGCACTCCTTAACCTCATATAAGCTAGTAGTAAGCCCGGTAAGAAGGGAAAGTTGGGCGTGAGACTAGCAACCGTATCTTGTGAAAACAACATCATCACTTTGGAAACTTCAGAGCCCTAAGCTGGATGTTATGTGTTTTACTCAAAACTTGAAGAAATGCAAATAAAAATAGTAAACTGTCAATAGGACTGTTAGATAAATGACTACAAATTGTGCTTTCCATAATGATGATAATAGTAATTGGCAGAAGTTGGAATTCATGAGCCATTTGATCAGATCCCAGTGGCTTAATGGTCTACGAGCTAGCTTGCCTTGTAACCAGAAGGTCCTGGGTTCGAACCCCGCAGTGTGGGTGCGTACTGCTGAAGATCCAGTCCCAAACTAGGATGGAGGAAACAGCTGTCCAGTACTCCCAGGTTTTCCAATGGTTCTCTAACCGATGTAAGCTCATGATGAAATCCTGTTACCAATCAATGAAATGTGCGTCGGTGGTATAGCGGTTAGGACGCTCGCCGATCATGCACATGATCCGGAGTTCGATCCCCGGCCGACTCACTCCTTTACCTCGCTGAGCCAGAAATAATGCTGGTAAAGAGGAAAGGTTGGGCATGAAGCTAGCAACCCCATCCTGTAAAATAAACACTACTACAGAAAGTTCAAGCCACTAGCTTGAGGCCCTATGTTCCACTGGGGAACGCGAAGGATAAAAAAATCAATCAAATCCCTGCAAACCAATACTTGAATAATAATATCACTGAAATGGAATTGAGGTATTGTTGCACACAAATGTGTGTTAGTTTTCCCTGCAAACTTACAAAAGAAACTGAAACGTAATCACAGAGTGCAATCCTCTTGTCCGGGGAGTTGAGAACACTCTCATCCCAGTATATCTCTGGTGGAGACGAAGAACGTCAATTCGATAATAACACTTTCAGTGTTAATAATACCAATGAATCTATTAGTAGGTGTTTTGCACAAAAGTTATTTTAGAAAACTCAAAGTAGTAAACTCTGCGTTTACACCCAGGTCTTATCAAGTCTAACTTATTGATATTTAGGTCTGATCATTTATACTTCCCTGATACCAGAGTCTTATTAGATTCACGGATTATCTTCGCTTACAGACTTTTTTCTCACTATTATATTTATATCCTTAGGAGGTTTTTACATCTTGCGTGAATCAACTAAAACTATATACTACTTGAATGGTTGGGATGAGCAGTTGTATATTACTCACATCAATCAAAGTGATCTAAACACATAGGACAGCTGTTTCGTTTGTTTGTGGCCGAGCTCATCCGCAGTGATTTAAGATGTTACCAGTTCGCCCAGCCCAAGTAGATAGGTAGCCAGAATTCTCTGGGTGGTTTGAACTGATTCGCCTCTCTGAGCTGAATCAAACTGGGCACATCGCTGATGAGCTTGGACCCAAACGAGCGAAAAAGTCATCCGGTGTTTTAGATCACTTCGATCTGGCTAACAGGTAAGCACTACTGGTTGATTTAAGTTGTATACAACTGCTCATATCCCAATCAATGAGATCTCATATGCACTGTGATCCGAATCATTTCGGTTCCCCAAGGAAATTGTGGTGAATCATGTAAATTGCGAATTAGAATCAACTGTGAATGTTTCGCCAAATTTCCCACAGTTATTTTAGCTTCTTTTTACTGACGTCTTTTTATTTTGTCGCTAAGGTTTAGACTGGTATACCATCATCACTTATATAGTCAGTCAGTCATTTCTGCCTACTCACATGACCATTTAAAATCTACTTTGTGTGTACGCCAACATTTCACACATCTCCTCATGATGTTATTATGTGTGATAAGAAAACTAGGTGAAAATGTTTTGCCTAAGACGACTTTCAAGTTTATTTAGTAGTAGTCGTAGTAATTGGAGTAATTAGTATCAGGCAGAAAATATGTGATTGTTTCTTTCCCTGTCTTAAATATGCACGTGTATATACACAATATATCATATTGGCTTGCTCGCTCGCTAGCTCGCTCACTCGCTCATGTTGTTATTTTTCATACAACAGAGTGTATAAGAGCGAGAGAGCACATGCAGGTTCATGTTGTTGATTTTTTGCTTTCTATTTTATTGATAATAATATTGATTGATTAATAATTAAACCACACTGGCTACATAATCTACATGCATACGTAGATACGTACATTCATATGTATAGTTGTCGGTAATCCACACGTGTGTACGTATTGTTGTTGTTGTTGTTATTGTTGGCTGTTGGCTGGCTCATTGTCTGGTTGGTTGGTTGCTTGGTTGGTTGGCTGGCTGGTACACATGTACACACACACATATAATAAGACACTGCTTATTTTATTTCTATATATATATTGGTATTCCTTACTTTATTATTTGTGCTAGTACCTACTTTTAATTTGGCTATTAGCCAAGTTATTTTATTTTATTTTTTTTATTCTTCGTGTATACATACGCAGAGTATTTGTGAATATTATTAGCGTTAGTGTGTGTATTCTTATTACCTATCTATAATATATATTTATATAAAAGTGTGTGTGTATTGATGTAAATGCATTTGTATGCACACTTTTGTGTTTGCGTGCTTGTATGCGTGTATGTGTGTAGAAGTCTCTATGTCGATTACACTCACTGTCAATAACTAAACCCATCATCATCATCTGAAGGCATGTTGTTATCCATCAATGTAAATATGTGCATATATATATGAGTGTGTGTGTGTTTGAATGTGTGCATATGCGTATGCGTAGTTTGTATTTGATGTGATGTATGTAGTCAACTTCACATTCTTAAAATATATTCGCTAGTTGAATATTACCATTATTATTATTATTATTGTTAGTATTAGTACTATCAGCACTAGTATTGTTACTATTCCTTACATGCAACATCAAATCTCGGACTCATTAAGAACAGTTATTAATTATTAATAATAGTTTTAGTTAACCTATAGGTATATACATACATATATATATATATATATATATTACGCAATACACAGTGGCGTCATAAAAAGGATCAACAGTTATCATTTCACCAATGGAGAATAATAGAAATTGAAGTCCGTGAATATGTTTGTAAAAATAATACTTTCAAGAGTTTATTTTGTAGGGGTTTGATTTGTTTCACGTTTGAAGACGGATTGATATCATCCTGGGTTAGGGCTTATCGACAGTACGTACTCACCGGAGAACCATCCGGATACAAGTCAAGCTTGTAAACCATTTTTTTAATTTTTTTTATTTACTACGGCTATCTCCTATGGGAGGATGAGCCGGCTTCATGAACATCTCGAATCATCGCTGCCCAGGCGCGGCGATCTGATGTAAGGTTTTGCGACAGGGTTATCCAATTCTTGTTCCACAGACGGATTCCGTAGATGGTTTGAAGCCCCAGGCACTCCATATCAGCCTTGACTGTACTGAGAGTTCATGAAGTTTCATGGGAATTTGGTACGAGTGATGTCCCCAGAATCGCTCGGCCTTTTGTTTGAGAGTGCAGCTCTAGCCTTTACACAACCAAGTGTGACCTACAAGGCAGTAGGAGTGGAGTAGGGAGTCCACTATCCATTGGCAGCCGGTGACCGGAGTAAACCATTCGGTCACTGGGAGTCGACTCAATGGCATGTCAACTCGAAGTTCTACTAATTCGTGACTGGCATCAGCTAATGGCATTGGCGAGTATTTTTACGGGTTTTAACCCTGGTAGGTGCGTACTACCGATGAGTTCCAAGCTAGGACGAAATAGCTGTCTAAGTACTCCCCGATATTCAATGGTATTCAATGGTGATTTCAATCCGTGGTCAAAACTGAAATAAAACAATACTTTAATAACTATACTATTGAAAGTAATTGTGTTATGCGTTTCTTTTATACATGCCACACACACACACACAGTGACAACTTCATACTGTGTGTAGTATTTGCAAATCCTCAGTGTGTTGCATGGAGACTTACACACCTGTTTTATCCATAATCATTATTTTGTGCAGCTCGACTGTACTTCGTGAGATTTCTTAAACTAAGTTTCAAGCGAAACTGGATTACCTAATAAGCTAGTCAAATCGAAGGGGCTGACCGAGTTCAACCATCAGCTAGCAAGCACTACTGGTTACTGTGAATGGCACGTAACTACTCATCTCAGTTAGTCAGTAGTGCATATAGTGTTGCGCATTTATGCCGTGGTTCTCTTGATTCTCATTTCTGATATCAAGCAGATCACATGCATTGTGATCTGCTCGAATTGTGTAAATTGCAAATTGTGAACTTCATTTACTGATTTCGATAGGACTGAATACGATTTTATGCTTATGTATCTGGTCAGTCGAGTTAGGTGTAGTCAGCGCTTATTGGAAAAAAGACTTTAAGATGACTGGTTTACCTATAGATCTATCGTCATGACTCACTTAAATTCTGAGATATTTGATCTATATCGAAACTTTGTTCTGATTACAAATCACCAATGAATAAATCAGCAATAAGCAACAATTTCTTATTATGCCTCCTCTAATGGAAACAAAGAAATTGTATTCTGTTCCAGAATGTAATTTACTCGATAAAGCTTATCCATGAACAAGTATGATTTTAACAATACTTTTTTTTCTTATTGTCTACGTATTTCTTGTTCTTCAATTCCATGTGTAATCAGA